AGTGGAACAGCTTGCCTCCAGAGGTTGTGAATGCTCCAACACTGGAAGTTTTTAAGAAGATGTTGGATAGCCATTTGTCTGAAGCGGTGTAGTGTTTCCTGCCTAAGCAGCGGTTTGGACTATACTGCCTAAGTCCCTTCCAACTCTGTTATTCTACATTTACTAGTTGGCCTTTATGACCCAAGGAACTTTTGTTATACAACTAGAGTTATACATCTAAAGGATAAATTCCTGTGTACTGAACAAAATTGATCCTACATAATATACTCCTGGGTCATTATATCATTAAACAGTTAAATTATGTTATACAATTAATTGATTAAACAGGTTTATTCAACAATGAGAAAAAGAGAGATAAATCATATAAACTACTATGTAGCCCTATTTCCAAATACATGCAGTTGCTGATTTATATAAGGTTCAGTTCTAGGAAACTTGCACATACTAACTTTTTTTGTTTGCCGAATGGTTGTCCTCAATTGCATACTAAAACGGTAACTTCTGTTTTTAATTTTTTGTTGTCTTGACTTACTTGTTTATTAAATTTATATGCCACCCATGGATTAAACAGACCAGAAAAAGGAAAAAAAAGAGGAAAGCCTGTAACATTATATATGTGTTTGTGTCTATCTACTATCTATCAATTTGTCCCTCCCTCCTTCTCCCCCCACCTCTCTCATTACCTGATGGCTTCTCATATATATATGAGAAATCCCAGTAAGGGTATATGGCTAACTGATGAGAGCTAAATAGCTTGAAATAGATCTATACTAGTCTCCCTTTATTTATTTATCAGCACAAATGCAACACACACACACACAGACACACACACACACACACACACACTCCATTTAAATATTTGCTTTGTAAAACTGCCATTTTGTACATGTGTGAAAATTGTGGCTGCCGTCATTTTTATGTCTCTTGTGTAACATCAGAATTATGTAAGCCAGGAAATGAGCTTCTCATAATAAAATGCTTGATCAAGTACAAAAACCTGTAAGAAGAGAATACTAATTACTGTAGAATAATGAATAGAGCATGTATATCTTTCCAACTATATTATTTAGCTCTTTAAGCCATAAAGAGGCTAAACCAATCAGACTGACCCTTCTAATGTACAGAATGCTCAAGGGTTGAACATTGCCATCTAATGGAGGCTGGTGGCAGCACTGCTGACACTTGCTAAGATTATAGCTAATTCAACAACATAACACATAATGTGATAGCATCAGTGGTTCCTTTCTTACTTCTTCCCTGCTCCCCTGTGTTATTCTTCCAATATGGCTTTTAGTCTGTTCCCTGTGTGTAGCCATTCTAAAAATTAAATAATGATGATGATAATAATAATATCTCTGGCCTCAAAAGGGACAATTTCTTTGCCTTAATTCTTGGTATGTTTAGTTTTTTTAAAAAAAATTATATGATTAATTTTAATATTCTACCTCTGATCAAACAATAAAATTAATCAATAAAACAAATTTTAAAAAAATTATGTAGAACAATTCATACTAAGAATTTGTTTAGAACACTCAAAACACAATTTGATTCTTTTAGAAATCTTGAGATTTCCCGCTAAGTGATCAATTCCAAATTCATATAATGGGCCATAAGGAGCTGTAAGACCATATGTCAGACCTTTGTCCATCTAGTCCAAAGAATCTTTTTTTAAAAAAAAATATTAACAAACATGTAAAATACACACACAAACAAAATTTAGACGTACACCACATTTACACAATACAATACGAACAGGAGCTTCCTGTTTTTTCTAGTAGCAATTATCAATCAATACCGCTTACCTATTATTATTTCCCCTTCTATTATATTTCATTTGGATTTCACCATTCTTAACCCTCTTATTTTACTCATAACTATTATTTTNTGTTGCTGGCCTCCCGGTCGTAAGTGGAGGATTTTATGAATCCTCAACAGAAAGGATGTTTTCCCTTGAAGATGTATTCAACCAATGCTTTGATTGTCTATCGAGATTCTGAATCATACAGGTCATGGTTGTTCCAAAGATGTTTTTTTCCCCTCAAAAAGGCAACTGGACTTTCTTGTGTTTTCTTTGAAAACATTTCTCATCCTAGAAGTTTCTTCAGTTGCAACTTATTCTATTTATTCTAATAAATATTATTATTTATTATTTTATAAATTATTATTTATCTTATAAGTTATTATCTTATAAATTATCTTATTCTTGGAATAAGAAAGGTTGGCAGTTTGGTGGTTTGAATCCCTAGCACTGTAATGGAGTGAGCTCCTGTTACTTGTCCCAGCTTCTGCCAACTTAGCAGTTGGAAAGCATCTAAAAATGCAAGTAGAAAAATAGGGACCACCTTCCTTTGGTGGGAAGGTAACAGCATTCTGTGTGCCTTCAGTGTTTAAACATGCCAGCCATATCACCATGGAGATGTCTTCAGACAGTGCTGGCTCTTCGACTTTGAAACGGATATGACCACTGCCCCCAAGAGTTGGGAATGACTAGCACATATGTGCAAGGAACCTTTACCTTTTACCTTTATTCTTAGAATATTTATTCGAAGGCAAGGATCCCCAACCCATGAATCGGCCTGTTTTGTGCAGTCCTCCAGGATCCAGACAATGAATACATGACTCATTTACAATCCAGGCATTATATGAAACCACGCCTCCCCCCCCCCAGTTGCAGAAAAACATCACAAAATTGGTTCCTGTCAATAAAAAGTTTTGGGGCCACTATTCTAAGGGCATTGTAAAAACATACCCATAACAATTAATAAATAATTTTGCACAACTTTCTCACAATTTTCTGATCAATTCTATTAATTATTAAAACAGCACTTCATATTCTTTTCCTTTCATATACTTTCATTTCACATTTCATAAGGGCTATGCACATTAACAGACAATTTGCAATGCCTGCCTTTCTTAATACAGGAGTCATTCTGTCTTTCAGCAATAATATGGCATCTACCTAAGAATATTGGCCAAACATAAGCAATACATTGATTGTTTTGAGAAGTTATTTTTTAAATTACTCAGATTGTCTTGTTATTAAACATATATGTTTGCAATATTTTAAATAATTCCTAAAATGTCAGCTATAAAATAACAGCAAGTAAGGGTATTAAATTAATCACTTGAATGCTAAAGAAAAAGATTAAAATTACTCTACCAAAGCTGAAAGCTTTCAAGTCAATCCTTATTGTAAAGTGTAATATGATGCAATATACGATACAGAAGAATAGGAAGTATCTACACCAGATGTTGAAATAAACCAACCAAATAAGTGAGTCATTTACCCTTATTTATTTAGCAGCCTTTAAGATGAGATCATCCAATATACCATATAAAATCATATAACACACATTCCACTATAACAGTGCTTCAATTTGAGTGTTCAAATCTATGTTATAAGAGGCTCCTGTATCTGCAGGATAA